GGGAATAAAGGGAAACATATAATGAAAAAAAGTAATGAGCTTGTTTCCATAGAAACACACTATGCTCCCTGCCAAAATAAGTGCTGACTTTGTATTCTGAAAGATGGTTGTGCAGACAACATGTGCTCACTGATCTGCAGATAATGTGTCAAATGTCTTCATAGTATGCATCTTCTGATTGCGTTGTGCATCATTAACAAATCTTTTTGCCAGTACTTTGCTGCCAATTCCTGCAGTATGACTCAACTATAATCTTTTCTCACTTCTAACCCATGTTATAGCTTGGGACTGGAGATAGAAAAGATTAGTTTCATTGTGCATTTTATACTGTATGTGTGAAGTTATAACAGTTGGTAAGCTGATGAAGCTCCTTCTGTCAATATTCTCTGTAAAATCCTTGCTCTGTTAAAATCTGTATTTTACTACTTGTTACAGTAGGGCCAGTGTTTCATATCTAGTCTTTGATCATACACAGCAGCAGTATTGCTTGTCTGATGATATAAATTCTGAAACAAAACAGCTACACTACAAAATGCAGATCTTATGGGGAAAAAAAAATACCCATGATTTTTCATTAATTTCCTAAACTTTACAATGGTGTCTTTGTGTTAGTGTATATTTCTGATGGCACCTTGAGGGTCAGAAATTCCAAATATAGAACAGAGGATAAGACTATAGAATTCAGTTAATGACTAGTTAATAACCATCTGCAGCAGTAGAAGAGCTCTTATGGGTTGATTTTTAGTAGTATTTGGAATTTAATAATTTTCAGAGGCTCTCTAGAAATAGTTTCTTTTTGCAGACTTTATTGCCTTACTATAGTTTCTTCACATAAGTCATTCTTCTTGACAAGGCCTAGAAATCTTTTTGAGATAATTCATTACTCCAGATTATTTCCTAAAATCCCGTCCCAGGTTTCTACTACAATCTCACTTCTGTTTATTTTCTTAAATCTTTGCATCAGAAAGCAGTGGTAGTGTGTTTAATTCACGATCCTGTTAAACACTGAATTTTGTTTTGTAAATGTTACTTTTTTTAAGGGAAGCAGCACAAGTTATATAAGGATTCATAGAAATAATTATGAAAGCTGTCAGTGGTCTTTCTTCTGCAAAATACAGGCATCCAGTTTTTTCAGACTTGTTCTTTAAAATCCATTCTGTTTATGTATTTGCAACTTATTAATATTAAAGAGCTATTCCATGATTATGAAGTCCATTTGCAGTGTAATATTCTTTACTTTAGGGGCAAAAAGAGGTCATTTCATCATCTAGAAAATTGCAGTATGTTGTTCTGTCCTATATTCTTAATCTCCAGTTATATAAACAATTCTGTTTATTCTCCATTTTGCATCTGAATATCTCTGATTAAGATTGATACTCAGCTACATCCCCCATTGTCTCTGCTTTTCACTACTATCTAGCAAGCAGTAAGTCAAAATGACATTCTTCCTAGCTATCTAGGATGTTGAATTTGCTTTAGTTGTTAGGAACAGCTGTCGTTTCAGGCCACTGAAAAACTGTCAGTTGGGCACTGAAGTAGCGTGACTGTGTATTAGTAAGTATGCCAAGCTTTCAAATTTCACAAGTAGCAAGTAACATACCTAAATATGAGGCTTACCCAGACAGAGTGTTGTTTAGGTTCTGCCCACTGCAGGAATGATTCAAGAGTGGTTCCTTTTGTCAGACTTCAGGGAAGAGTAGGAAGGAGAGTGAATCCTCTTCACATCAGTCTTCACAACTGATGATTCCCTTTCTTCACTCAGCATATTGGTGCCTTTTTTCCTGTGATCACTTTCGGTGTTTTGGATTTGGTTTGGTTTTTGCTGGGTTTTTTTGTGTGTGGAGGGTTTTTTTTTGTTGCTGTTGTTGTTGTTTTTTCTTTTTTTTTTTACTTTTTTTCCCTCCACATTTGTCAGGATACCATGATAAAAATCATGGAATCATAGAATAGTTTGGGTTGGAAGGCACCTTCAAAGGTCATCTAGTCCAGCTCCCTGCAATGAGCAGAGACATCTTCAACTAGATGAGGTTGCTCAGAACGACATCCAGCCTGGCTTGAATGCTGGATCCACCACAACCTGTGCCGGTGTTTTACTGCTCTCATTGTAAAGAATTTCTTCCTCACGTCCAGCCTGAATCTTATCTCTTTTCATTTAAAACCATTACCCCTTGTCCTGTTGCAACGGGCCCTGCTAAAAAATCTCTCCTCATCTTCCTTATAGACCCTTTAAAATATTAATAATATTAATTGATTATTATTTAATAGCAATTCTATGTTAACATTATTAATTGAAAAAAATGGTGAAAAAAGGTAATTTAAATTTGTATGCTGTAAAGCCCCAAATGAGAGTTTGAGAATGACACCATTAGTTAGAAGATAGGGAGGGGAAGGAAAGAAATGCCAGTATGGATCAGACACAGTTTGTTACTTACAGCTAATATACAGCTTGGTATGCAGCTCTGCTAAGGTTCCAAAAGTCTACGCAAAGTAAATTTTTATAGTTTGCTGGGGTTTTATTCTATCTTTTCTGATATTCTGATTTTATTAATCAAATAGGGTAGGTTAAATACTGTTTGACTTACAGTTTCAAAGATAAAGGAGCTTTTTCTCATATCTCTGAATGGGATTCATGCTGTCTGTTACAGTTACGCAAGCTTGGAATTTACTTGTACATGTTTTATTTGTGCATGTATGTACTTTTCAAAATTAATGCCTAAATTTGATAAACACTGTAGAGCTGAGGTTCATCTTCATCAGCTCTTTCAGTGTCATACTTCTACAAAGAACAAAGCCTCTTACAAGTAATAGGAAACCTATTTCACTATTTGTCAACCTTGATTCTTTTTGTGCATTCTAAGGAAGACTGATTTTCAGGATTTTTCTGGTATTCCACAAGCTCAGAGAGAAATAGGATTTATTTCTCTCCTCCCACGCACACCTCCCCCACACCACCCCCTTCCCCCCCCGGATGTACAATAATATTCATGGTTTTAATCTTTTTCATACCTAAAGGTGTACTAGTATAGCACAAACGATTAATGTGTGTTTGGAGTTAACTGATGGAACAGCTACTTTCCTTGTATTTGTCAGTGAGATGGATTCATCTTATGGTTAAAACATGGGAAGTATTTTCACTTTCTTCATGGGACTTAAAGTCTGCGTTCACGTAATTGCATATGGCCAATCAGTATTCCTTTCATACCAGAGTAAATCTGAGGTAATTTAACTTTTCATCAATATTACAGTAATTTTACACCAGCACAGAAATGAGTACGGTCAACAGTAATTTGACAGCTTTAAAAAAAAAAATAAATTATTTTTTCAGTACTTTCAAGCTGCAATGCTTACAATATAGCAGTTTCTCTAATAAGTTCTTATTAAGTAAACCTATGCAGAAGAGAACAGAGAAGTTGGTCTCTTTTACAGAAAGGGATGAAGTTTTGCTTTAACTGCTGTGGATTTGGCCATCCCACTTAACGTGTTACATTTTCAGTTTTCCTGACAGCACTTCCAGCTTCCCTTCCAGCATCTCTCACTGTCCTCATGCTGCCTTTTCACTGCTTTTCCACTTCTGGAAGGTGATAAGCCTTAAAATATTAAAATAGAAGAATAACTGTACATACATATAATTCTAAGTGTGTCTTTTTCTGAACCATTACTCATTTAATGTAATGTTTTAGATTTCTGCCTCTCCCAAGATTTTATGATACCTTAATCATATTCTGAAGAAACAGCTGCATTGTAATATTTGCATGTTTGCTGCCTTGCGCAAGTGCAGCCCATAATTTGAGGGGATCAAAATTTCCTGCTGCGGCATGGTTCCTCCAGTTGCTGCTAATTTAGCTGCAGTTTACTTTTTTAATACTTCACCCAATTTACTTTTTTAATACTTTGCCCCATTCTTTCTTCTTTTGTTGAGTGGACTGGTGAATTTTTGTGTAAGCATTCAAAAAGATCTGTGTATTTGCATGAACTCGGTGTGTAGACCTTACACACAATAGGTTTCAATTTTGTTTTCTTCCTGAAATTCCTATTTTACTTGGTTCTGAATGTATGTATTTTGACTTACCTGAAAATGGCTTAATACATGTGAATATAAATGAGATAAGTGGCAGAAATATTTCTTAAGATGGCAAAATTATCTTCTTACTAGTCTTTCAGATCTGATGTTACTACATCAGACTGAGCTGAATACTGGTCCTTTTAGTGAATGATAGGTAAAATTTTTAACCAAGTTCCAGATGCCAGATGCTGCTCTTGTTTCTACTTCTGCAAAGCCATGCAGGCTATTAGCTTTCAGAGTGTGGATATGAAGGCAGAGTTTTTCATGTTCATGATGATGTGTGAACTAGAACTCAGCATGACTGATGAGCTTGATAGGGCTAGCACTTACAAAAAACATTATTTCGGTCACAAACTGAGTATTAGAAGTCATTGAAACTATCTTAGTGCTGAATTATACAGTAAAATTCCTGCAGATTTTCTTCAGAATATGGAACTTAATGGACAATAGCCCAGAATTCTCTGGTAACCTGGTAGGAAGAATTTGCTGTGAGTTAATTTGAAATACTTTGGATTATTAAACATATAGTAAAAATAAATAAAGATTACACTTACTTACATTCCTAGCATAGGCAGACAAGAGGGTGTTTAAAACAGTGATTGGCAAATTTAGAACAAATTGAAGTAATTACTACTTCAGCAGTATGTTTTCAAATTATTAAATTCACTGTTACATTTCATTAAATAAAATATCTTTATTTTAGAATAGCTGAATTTTATGATTATCAGTAACAGTTACATTTTTGTTAGCCATGATGAGAGCTACCAGAGGAGAGTTCCTGTATGCGATACAAGACAGCTGTTACAAAGCTACCTTGTAATTCATAAATATTGTTTCTTTTGTCATGCATATTGCACGATAGAAGATGTAGTTATTGAAGGATAAATAACATTTCAGCCCTTGAGATACTTGCAGAAGTCACCAGACTTGGTGTAGTATGATAAATACTCTGTTTATTTTGCTTCTACAGAAATGTAACTTGTGCAGACAAAGAATTAAGAAAACCTCTGGTGCCTGCATTCAGTGTTCATATGGATGCTGTCCAGCCTCGTTCCATGTTACCTGTGCCCATGCTGCAGGAGTGCTGATGGCACCTGACGACTGGCCATATGTTGTCTATGTCACATGTTTCAGGCACAAGATCAACCAAAATGTGGTAAGGAATTTATTTCCTTGTTTCTTTAAAAATGGAATTGCAGAAGTATGTTTCCATAGAACATGGAAGAAGGGGTCCATGTGATCTATTATATTATCTCTATCATATTTCCATACATAACAAACCATTACACCTTGAAAGTTTTTCCTTCTACCATTACCTGGGAGAAATGGTACTTAATATGCCTAACACATTTTTGCAGACACAACCAGGATCTGGTTTTACCTAGTTTTGACAATGAACAGTGAAACAGTTTTGTTTAAAACAGTGAAACAGCCCTATTTTTACTTGTTTAAACAGTAAAACTGTTTTCTCTCTGTTGTGGCCACTTCCTTAGCCCCTTAAGTTTTCCACCTTCCTCCAGTATATGTCTCTTGATACTGGAATTCCCTTATGCTGTTAATCAATGTTCATGATTTCCTTCACTTTATTACCTTTTATGCTAAATGGTAAATGTGCTGAAGTTTTGGGTTATTTTCTTCTATGTTGATACAGCACTTAATATAGTGGTATATCTCTCCTAGGGAGACTTTTTTTTTTTTCCTGGCATTTTTGTGTTCATATTAATTATTAATAGAAAAACCTACAAAATGCTAATGAAAAGTAGTAGGTTGTTTAAATTCAGAATTTCAATCTGAAATAAATTCATACTTTCAATCTAATGTAAAACTGCAGAGTTTTTTAGTGTACACTTTAACTGGAATAGAAAAGTAGCCAGTATTATTTTGAATGGTAAGAAACAAAACACATAGCTGAAAAAAAAAACATTAGTAATACAGTAACATGGAATCCAGTAAAATCCTCTTTTTCTTACTGGCTTTCTTCCCCTATATTAAGTAGTGTCAAAGACAAAAACAGCAGCCACTAACTGGGGGGGAAAGGACTTTGTGTGGCTACTGTTTTAGAGATTTTGTGAAGGATGTTAAAAGTAGATTGAATGAGACTAGCACATACTTCCCTGAAACTCAGCACCAACCTTTTTGAAAATCTGTGGTATCAACATTTTCATATGGCTCAAATAAAAATTGGATTTGGAGAAGAGAAAGAAAAAACATGCTTTTGTATTCCTCATTGGGCCAAAAATTGGAAAGATCAGGTATTTTGTTAAAGAATCTTTTTCTGGGTGGGATATTCTTATCTTCTGGGACATGTGAGATGGTCCTGTGTTTGTATATGCTTGGTTTTATACTCTGTCTTTTGGATAATTAATCTAATCATATCTTTAAGCCTTTGGAAGTTTTTTTGCCATTGGTTTTCTTGTTATGCTTTTCCCTTCTATTAGCTATTTCTTCATGCAGAAATTACATTGCACTTCACCATTAGACATAGCAATATATCTTACTTGTAATGAACTTTTTTAGTTTCTGTTTTAACTTCCTTGCTTGAAAGCAGAACAGGAGAATTGTGCAGACTGAAATATTTTTTGTACCCTTACAAATTTTTACAGGAATCAGATTTTCTTGTAAGAAAAAAAAGAAAAAAAATCTCCTGGTTTTTTAGCTGTTGAAAGCATTGTACATAAAACAAGGACACTTCACCTCATTTCAAGGAAACAAAATTAAATTATCTGGTTTTCCACTAATATAGCCTCTAGATATTGTGCCTAAATGCTCAATGAATACCAGTGATTGCTGCGTTCTTCAAGTTAAAAAAAAAAAAAATCTAACAAAACTCAGCAACCAAAGGATGGCTTCTGCACACTAGGAAAAATTACAACATATATCTATAGTGGTATTGTAATGTGTAAATCAATGAGGATGCTCAATAAAAAAGGTACAGATAAATGTGTATTGTTACTACTGTTAGAATCATAGAATAGTTAGGGTTGGCAAGGACCTTAAGATCATCTAGTTCCAACCTCACTGCCATGGACAGGGCCATCTTCCAGGGCCTTAAAACACATTTAGGTATGGGGCATCCACAGCTTCTCTGGGCAGCCTGTTTCAGTGTCTCACCCACCCTCATTGCAAAGAACTTCTTCCTAATGTCCAATCTAAATCAACCCTCAGTTTAAAGCCATTACCCCTTGTCCTGTCATTTCTCTCTCTTACGAGTGTATTGCTTTACATCAGGCAAGGGCTTATTACAGTGATGAGGTGAAGTACGTGTCCACATTATCTAGAGCTGTCATCTCAAGCAAATTGTGTCCAAATTACTCAGCAGTATACATTTACAAGTGTATTGCTGTATTGTCTTTTGGATTTTTTCCTAAACTACCTTTTTAATTTCAACCATGGATAACACTGGCTAAAAAAAATCAGCAAAAAGGAAATCAAAAGGGAAAGCATAATCCTTGCATCCATATAATGCTGCCAAAGGAAGTAAATGTACAAGTACCAAGAACTGGACCTTTTAGATGTTGATTCTACTTTTCAAAAATAGGTTCTTTAGAGGTCCATGGACTCAAAACTAAGCATGACTCCTGTATTTGCTGAAGGCACAGCTTTAGAAATAACACAAAAATCTGCTAGCAGAATAGGTGTTTTGCACAGAATGTTTTTGATTATTCCTATCATGGCCTATGTTACTTTGTTATGTAAACTGGAGTGTCAATATGCAAGGAAAGCTCTGTGATTTACTACTTCCAGGCAGTAGGTTGTTTTTTTGCTTTGATTTTTTTTTTTTTTTTCATTTTTTCTCTTTGAATGTGCTTTTCTCTGGGCATGAAATATATCCCTCACACCTTTTTGTTATCAAACTGCAAGATACTTGGAAATACGGTGGAGAATAGGTGCTACAGATGGATATGTTTTGATTAAAAGAACTCTTTTGCACACAAGGAAATAAGAAAAAAAGAAGAAAAAGAAGCTATGTGAATTTATACTGACAGGAAAGAAAAATCCCCCATGGGATCCTTACAAGATTAGCAAAGACAGCACTGATGGTCAGAGAAAGCCAGCTGGAAGCAAACATGCACTCAGGTGATGTGTCATTTAGAAAGTGTGATCAGAAAAGGCCACCTAGGCAACCCCAGTTACATGCATTTTGAAGACTGTCTTTAGAAGGGGCAAAGATAGTTGCAAAAACCCACTGGATAGGAGTTGCAGAAACCTACTGTTGCTGCCTTTTGAGCTATTTCAAATTATCTTTTTCTGTTATTGGCCATTTCTTAGCACTGTTGCACAGGGAACAAAGGGATACTTTCAAATGAAAGCTGCAGAACACCTGAGTAGTGGAGTGAATGTCATTGTTTGCCACTGTCTGCTAAATACTGCCCATCTCTTAACATTTCAGTGAGACTAAGGCATGCCTTAGGAAGGACATACTACCCCAAAATTGTAAACCAACATAGTTTTCAATTGTCATGCATAATTTCTATGCCAAAATTGGAGTTCTGAGAAGTAAGCTTAAAATGATGATGAGAGTTACGTTCTTTTATAAGGTGGGTTTCAGAATTTTGAGGATCCTTCATTAAAAACTCTACTGAGAGAAAGTTGCTATATATTTAGATATACATCAGATACCTATTTCATGATGGTTATTACTATTTCATATACCATAGTTTGTAGGATATATTTTAGGCAGTGTTCAAGGCCAAGTTGGATGGATTCTTGAGTGAGGTGGTTTAGTGTGTGGTGTCCCTGACCATGCAAGGGAGTTGGAACTAGATGATTATAAGGTCCTTTCCAACCCTAACTATTCTATGACCATATGATTCTGTATATTTTATTTAACAAGATTTTTGTGTCCTGTCATACAGAAAATGAAGGAGAAAGATTGTCCTTCTTATCTTATTGAGTTTTGCACACAGAAGGGGAGGTTAGCTATTTTTCTTTGTATCTTGTTGTTTTCATTTCTGCCATCATACTACTTCATCCTTGGCTTCCTTTACTGTTAAAATCATGCTTTTTAAACCACAGCTTTCTCAACAAGCCGGTAATTACCAGAGCTGTTTCTTTAATCTGATAGACTCCCTTACATAAGAACTGTCCTTACTGATCAAAAATTACGTTCTTAACATCAATAAATTCTTCAGATTTTCTGGCAGGAAATGTTTTCTGGGACATGAAATCAGTTACAGAGTCTGCTTGTCAATATTTTTGTGAGAAATAAATCAAGAGTCCTACCGAGATAATAGAAAAAAAATAATCTCCTTGAGCCAGGTTGCATTTCTGTTGTTTATTATTTGTTCTAATGAGCAATGGCACTTCTTCTCTGAAAATTTTATCAACAAATAAGCATGTATTGTCTCTTAAAATATATTTTGCCTTCCACCATCTCTGAAGAGTTCCATCTTCAGGTTTTAAAAACATTTAAACCTTGTAATAGAGCTAATTCTCCTTCATTTTCTGCAATATATATTTTTTTCTTTATTATATAGGTAAATCAGGTAATACTCTCCAGTTTTCTTCTTATCCCTCCTTCCCTTTCTGCCCAAATAACTGAATAGACTGAAGTAAATAATGGAAAGCTAAATTAACATATATATATTTATATATGTTTCAAAATTGTGTACAAAGTTATGTACTCCTATGATAATACCAGTAAAGTGTGACTTACATAGTTAATTATATTACTCAGTCTAACTATAGACAAGTGAAAAGAGGAAGAAACAATTTTGTTGTACATGTAAATGGTTAAATAATTTCTGAGTATGCTCAGAACATTATTTCTATCTAAATTTGAAGATGTTTTAGGAACATCCCTGGGTTTTACTATCTGAGGTGACCTCACTAAATCCTTCAAATGCGTATGTCAGGCAGAGCTCTGACACACAGAGATTTAGCACACTGCCTCCAGAAATGGTACAGAATATTTGTACTTTGCCCTTAGTTTGAGGGAGCAAAGAGGTTTAAAAACTCTAAATCCCAGAAACTGGTCAAAGAAGGATATACAGTAGTGACTACAGACTCCACAAAACCACAAGTGTTCAAGTTCAGGGTGTTTTTTCTCTGCCCCAGAAGCATTGACATTACTGTTTATGCTTGGAATCTTAACAAAAGCTGTCATTGTTTCTCCCTTTGATATTAATGCTAAAAATTATACAACTAGCATTCTCCAGCTTTTCACAGATGTTTTTCAAGATCACTATATCGATTGAAGAATTCACTGCCTCTTAAGGTTTGAAAAGCAGTGCTAAATGCTTTTCAAATTAAAAATCTGAGTAATTACTTTAGCATACGTAAAGTATTCCATGCTGTTTATATAGAAAATAAATATAAATTTAGAAATATATAAATGTTTAAATTATTTTTATTCATTATATTTATTCTAAATTAAAAAAATACTTAATATTTGCTAGTGTAGTTGACCCTGTTAGTAGCATTAAAAGAAAAGTTCAACAGATCAGATCTCACCAAAGCCACAATAACTCACTTTTCAATAAACAAATGGACATATGTGAGGTAATGAGCCAGGATCATAAGGAAGAAGTACCTTCCTTGTGTTACTAGGGTGGGAGCTCTTGATGTTATTTTTTCTGGTGCAGAAGGCTGCTTTTTAAGTTCCCTGGGGGTACATTAGCTGGGAGCTGAGTTTTAATACTCATCTGCTGAAAAATATTTTTGAGTGCTGTGATTTGCTATTCTTCAAATGCCATTTGTTTTCTCATAAAATGGAGAAACTCCTATGTAAAACAAATTTGTGTGATCACAATTGGAAGGAACAATTTTGCATTTGAAGTTTTTACATTGGGTAGCGTTATGAATTCTGTTTTGACAGTGATAAATTTCAGATGAGTAACCTGGTATTTAAAAATTACTTTTTCTTTTAAATTCTTCCTTTTTTTCAAGAGAGCTGAAGCGTGTGAGAAAGGCATTAGAGTTGGGCAGACAGTCATCACGAAACACAGGAATACAAGATACTATAGTTGCAGAGTCATAAGAGTGACATCACAACTTTTCTATAAAGTGGTGTTTGATGATGGCTCTTTCAGTCTGGATACTTTTCCTGAAGACATTGCAGTAAGTATTTTTTGTTAGATATCTGTTCTTTTGTTGTTGGTGTGGGTTTTTTTGGGTTGTTCTTCGGGGGTTTTGTTTTGCCTTTTTTTTTGTTTGTTTTTGATTTTTGTTTGTTTGTTTTTTAAAGTAGAGAGAGTTGTAATTTCTTTTGACCTTGAAGAGATAATGCCCTAATATTCAGTTCCTGTTTGTTACTTTAGCTGCTGAGAGTGATTATTTTCTAATGGGCTTCCAACTCTTGGTTGTTCTAATCAGTCTTTGCCATTTTACCGAATGAATAAAAAATAATCTTAGAAAATCTTTTAATTAAATAAGAAATATATATTTAATAAAGGATATGAGAGAGGGAATTCCATATACCCTTCTCTGTCTCTCAGAGATAATTTGTAAAAATTCCTTGCAGAGTAGAAAAGTCCTGCTGCAATGGGAAGACTAACTCTCAAGAATCTAACAACTTGTTTACACCTTCTGATATTCAGTTTGCAAGATTACATTATTAATGATAAAAATCATCAGGGAGACAAATGTGTAGTTTATTGCATATCGAAAAAGAATTTGAGATTTTGATTTCCCTTATGCACTTACATAAACTACCATGTTTCTCAGAACTCAGAAGTGTTAAAGGACCATGTGCACTTAGCACATAGAAGAAAATTCCCAGACAACTGGGGAAAGATTCTGTTTCCCTTCACATCTGCAATAAATACATTGGATGTTAACCTTCCTTGTGTTCATCAGGTGCCGCTTGACTTCTTCCTCACAGTAACTCTAGTCCTTGTTTACTTCCTGATCCTCTGAGTCTTTCTGCTGAATTGATACTTTTTCTACATCTCATACAAAAAATCTCTGAAAGTTAAAGCATTCAGTGGAAACTGGTGTGCAAAAGTGCTGTTTGTTGCAAGACCACTTTTCACTTAGTCCCATGGCCTGTACTGTATGTTGCAGGGAAGAGCCTGGTGTATGCAGCAATGAGGAAGGATATACGCTTTTGTTGTGGTTTAAACCCAGCCAGTAACTAAGTCCCATGCAGCTGCTTGCAGACCTTTCTCTTCTCCTCTCCCTGGGTGAGATGGGGAGGAGAATCAAAGGAATATAAACCCCATGCATTGAGATAAGAACAATTTAATAACTAAAGAATAATATGCTACTATTAATAATAATGATAAGGGAAATAACAGGGGAAGAAAATATAAGACCAAAAGGAGAAAAGAGGAAAAACAACTGTAAACACATTTGATGCACAATAACATTGACCACTACCCTCCAACCGATACCCAGTCCAACCTGAGCAGTTATCTGCTCTTCTGGGTAACCCCCCAGTTTATATACTGGACATGACATGCTGTGGTATGGAATACCCCTTTGGCTAGTTTGTGTCAGGTGTCCTGTCTCTGCTCCCTCCCAGCTTCCTGTGCCCCTCCTCACTGGCAGAGCAGAAGGCTGAAAAGTCCTTGATTGGAGTAAGTGCTACTGAGCAACAACTGAAACATTGGTGTGTTATCAGCATTGTTCTCAGACTAAAGCCAAACCACAGCACTGCACCAGCTTCTAAGAAGAAAATTAACTTTATCCCAGCCGAAACTGGGACAGCTTTGCAGCTCAAGTGATGCAGCTATAGGAGTACTACATATTTTTCTCCCACAAAAGCCTTTGAGCTGTTCTGTTTTCTGCAGTCCTAATATTTTCCTGGAAGTAGCATTAGCTGATGTATACATCAATGGAAATGGTACTGTCGTTCTTAGAGTCTTCTTAGTTATTGAAAAGTCTGACACCTTTTGAAAATATAGTATTTGAAAGGGTACATTTCAGAGCAGTGTATGGGGATTGAGCTGTTTACTTTCTTCTGTTCTGAATAGAAGACAGTCAGCAAATCCCTCTTACATGTCTTTGAAATTTTATCCTTTAATTCGAAACACTCCAAAAGGCTCCATTAATCATAGAATCAGAAAGATATTCTGATTTAGGATGATCAAGATAGTAAACAAGTGTGGCTGTATTGTTATTAGAAACCCTTTTTCGTATATGCCTGCATGGAGGCTCTGGAAAGGCAGAGATGAGAAACCGCTTGCTGCCCTAGTGGGGTAGTCTGATCTGAAGCTAAGAATAAACGTAATCAGGTCTAGATATGCCTCAGTGCTTCTCAGATAGTGGATGAACAACATACAGTTGTTTGATGAAAACACCAAAAGAATGTCACATTCCTTAGATAAATCTTGTGTTTTCTTTAGATAATATACCTGCAGCAGTTACTGGAAGGGAAAAAAAATAAAATATGTTTTTTCTTCTGCCTGTACTAAAACTTGCTAATCCATGCAATGTGCGTATCAGGTGTTAGTGCCGCTGGGAGGACTTATTCATCAAATCTGGTGTGAAAGCAGTGTTGCTGCCCATTGAAGAACTTATTTTTTCTAATCTGTTTTCACTTTTCAACTAGCTCACAAAGATAGCAGCAGCTCTGCTTTTCCAGTATGTGCTGAATCTACGACATAATTTCAGCTCAGCTCACAATAGACCACAGTTCCAATGTTCAGATACAGTGATTTATTTTTAAGGGGAAAAATAAGGAGCAAGGAAATTTCAGTCTGGAAGCCTCATGAAACTCATTGTGTGTAAGCGTTCAATAACTACCAAAGCAGGGTATACATATGTGTTTCTCATATGTGTTTTTCTTTGTGTTAGCATCTGCTAAATAGTTGGTTTGGGTTTTATCTTGAAGTTTAGGTGTTAGATAGAGACATAGCTGTATATACTTTTATTTCAAGCTGTTGCTTGGGTACTGTACATGTTTCTTCGTGGTCAGAATTTCTTAGAATAATTGCACCTCAATTACAGTGCTTTAACCTATTACACAGCTTGTTGATATGCTAACCAGTCAAGTGTAAGAGGGTGCAAAGAAGTATATGGGTACAATTTTTTGTGGGAAGAAACAGCAAGACAGCTTCCTCTTTGAGTCATGGAAGGACTGCAGTGGGGGGTTAGTACATGGTGTCTTAAAGGAGGTGAGATGACTGCTTCAGCAGTTGCAGGCATGTAAGTGGGGAATGCATATGCTGTAGTCCTGAGAAACTGCTACCAGCAGATATCATGTATGTGTGACGCCATTCTCGGAGAGTTAATGTCACACAGCTCCCAGATCAGCATCTGGAGGAGTACTGTCTTGCACAACAGGCAGATTATGCATTAGAAATTGCCTCCTTGGCCTGCTCATTTAGGAGGGTATAAATGTACCTTTAAAAGGTACCACAGTATCTTTTTTGTTTATTTTTTTCCACTGTTAGTACCTGATAGACATATCACCACTGGTATGTCTTGGTAGTTGTGTTTCTTTATATACTGTGTTTGTCAATAATGCCTTAATAGCAAGTATATGCATATATCTGTTACCTGGAATTAGAGCTAAAGATGAAGTTGTTCCCATGTTACCTTACTAAAATTCCAGGTAAACAGGCAAGCCTTGCAGTATACTTTGTCAGGAACAGAAATGTTCTCACCAAATTATGCTGATTGTAAGGAAGAGAGGAGGAAAAAGGAATAAAGTTTAAGAGCTGGGCATGCTTTGGTTCTGTGGGGAGGTCTGATCACAGGAGAGCTGCGCATGCCCCTCCTGAATTGTCCATCCTTCCAGGCCACTTGCCCCAGTGAATGTCCTGGTCCTCCAGTAGCCAGTTTGCATGCAATTCTTTTCTGTTGTGGTTTCACTTTGTGGTTATCAAGCAAAATAGGTGAACAAAAATGAGTGTGCTTACTCTTGCTGCCATCATGTACCCACAGTGTGTTTTAGTTTTCTATTTGGTGTATAAATGTCAGGCTTCTCCACTGAGAAAGTAAAGTGATCTGTGGGTTGTCATGCCCACAATACAAATGGACTTTAGTTACTAAAATCTATAAATTGAATACTATCCTAAGCGGTATTGTAACTTATAGAACACTGCAGTTAACTGTTCCTTACAAGCTAGATTGTCTTAAGAGTTGAAAGAGTGAGGTGTGTCAGGAAGGACACTTGGATGCTATATTCAGGAGATGCTATATTTGATTTGCAGAACCACAGTATGGTAATTTTCTGAGGTCCTGATTAAATCCAAAAAGCAGACTCTTGAAAAAGTTTGCATTGCTTCAGGTTAAGGCATTCAGACTTCAGCTGTCAAAAGCAGGAGCAAGGAATTTCTTTTGCCTGTGTCAAATTGGTCCATCAAACATCTTGCTGCTTTTTTTTTTTTTTTTTGGTCTGCCGTTGTTTTTTGAAATGGAGGCCATTTTACCTGAAGAAATTCAAGCACCAAAAAACCCCCACCAAGCAGTGGATTTATTAACATACCAACACCGATACCTGGAATCCTTAACAGAATTATGCTGATACTGATGCAAGTACCTTCTTTCAGTCGTGGACCCAAGAGAGCCTTCAGTGTGAAGAGAATGGAGGAGATTAAGCTCTATCTTTGTGTCTGTCAATGCTTTAAACTTACCACTGGCAGGGGACAGAGTAGCAGGCCTGTTGAGAATTCTGACAGCCAAAATATTTCACTGAAATTATCATGAAGGCTACAACTTACAGTGTGCACTTAAATTTCACAACGTCCAAAATTATTATCCTCTTCTTTCTTTGAAATAAAATTGGGCACATTTTAGTTGCCAGTATTTGGAGAAAAATCCTTCTAGTACGATAGCAATGTAATTTGAAAAGCTATTAAAAAACCTCCAGCGGCCATGCCCCACTTTTCTTAGCCAGGAACCTTCTTTGTAATCCTCTACCTCTGTCCCAGCCCACAAATGTTCACTTTACACCCTACAAAATTATGAAAGATTAAACATCTCATGGCCCACACTCTACCATGTTCACATACTGTGTGCAGACTTGCTAATTACCTTAGCTTTCTTGATGCTTGTGGACTCTGAGATTCAGAATGATCCTTCATGGTCTAAATATCTAGCATGGGGTTGAAGCTGCATAGGCATTTGTAATCTTGGAAGTCACTAAAGACAATTGCTGTAAAGTACAGTCA